CCTGCCGCCCGCAGCTGTTCGCCGGGGAAACGCCCAATTTCAACTTTCTGACCCTGCACAATACAAGTCTTGCGGCGGAGCCGGGTCAGCTGCCTGAAAGTTCGGGTTTTTGGAACTGAGTCGAGGGGTTTTCATTGCGAGACTCGGTCTCTCTTTGAGGGGTCGGGCATGGCTAAATGCAAACTTTTTCTGTGTCTTAGTTTTGGGAGGTCATCAGTGATGAGCATGGGATCGACCCCACTGGCAGTTACCATGGAGACAGTGATTTGCAGCTGGAGAGAATCAATGTGTACTACAATGAAGCCACTGGTAATTGCCTTACCATTCCCCCCCCCCTTCAATTTTTAACTCTCCCGTCCCCAGGACTAACTCCAGGAGTGTGGCCCCAGGGGAGAGTGGACTAGCGGATTTAGAATTCCCACTCTTTCACTGCAAGATTTCAGTGGGCGGTTCACAACCAAAGCCTTTGAGAATCTGATCGGTTCTGTGGCCTTCTTTGTTTGGGGACAACAGTAGTGCCTGCAAAAGGGGGGGGGAGCCTTTCTCTTTAGAGCTCTCTGCCTGCACATCTAAGTCCAGCTGTGTTCCCTGCAGGTAACAAATACGTACCTCGGGCCATCCTGGTGGACCTGGAGCCGGGCACCATGGACTCGGTCAGGTCTGGACCATTCGGCCAGATTTTCAGGCCCGACAACTTCGTTTTTGGTGAGTGACTGACATGGCTGATGGCAGGGGAGGCTCATTTGACACTGTACAGCTTGGGGTGGAGGGGTATGACCACCTAAGGGAAAGGACTGAATGAAGAACATCCCGTTGTGTGCCCATTCAGTCTTAACATAAGCTAAAACAAATTTGCCTTTCAACCTTTAATAGCCAGGTATTTCTAGCCTTCCTTGTTTATAGTTATATCCATAACCAAATATTTTAATGTCTGGCCATTTGGGTGGTAATCTGAGATAATCTTATCTGAACACTGACTTATTGATCTATATTAAGGGGTTTAGGGTAAAAAGAATTTAATCCAGTCATCAGTGCCTTATGAAGTCTCTCCCTCTGGCAGGCCAGAGTGGCGCGGGCAACAACTGGGCGAAGGGCCACTACACAGAGGGAGCTGAACTCGTGGACTCGGTCCTGGACGTGGTGAGGAAGGAGTCAGAAAGCTGTGACTGTCTGCAGGGCTTCCAGCTGACCCACTCGCTGGGGGGCGGCACGGGGTCCGGGATGGGCACGCTGCTCATCAGCAAGATCCGGGAGGAGTACCCAGACCGCATCATGAACACCTTCAGCGTCATGCCCTCGCCCAAGGTGTCCGACACGGTGGTCGAGCCCTACAACGCCACCCTGTCCGTGCACCAGCTGGTGGAGAACACGGACGAGACGTACTGCATCGACAACGAGGCCCTGTACGACATCTGCTTCCGCACCCTGAAACTGACCACGCCCACGTACGGCGACCTCAACCACCTGGTGTCGGCCACCATGAGCGGCGTCACCACCTGCCTGCGCTTCCCGGGCCAGCTGAACGCCGACCTGCGCAAGCTGGCCGTGAACATGGTGCCCTTCCCGCGCCTGCACTTCTTCATGCCCGGCTTCGCGCCGCTCACCAGCCGCGGCAGCCAGCAGTATCGGGCCCTCACTGTGCCCGAGCTCACGCAGCAGATGTTCGACTCCAAGAACATGATGGCCGCCTGCGACCCGCGCCACGGCCGCTACCTGACCGTGGCCGCCATCTTCCGCGGCCGCATGTCCATGAAGGAGGTGGACGAGCAGATGCTCAACGTGCAGAACAAGAACAGCAGCTACTTCGTCGAGTGGATCCCCAACAACGTCAAGACGGCCGTGTGCGACATCCCGCCGCGCGGCCTCAAGATGTCGGCCACCTTCATCGGCAACAGCACGGCCATCCAGGAGCTGTTCAAGCGCATCTCGGAGCAGTTCACGGCCATGTTCCGGCGCAAGGCCTTCCTCCACTGGTACACGGGCGAGGGCATGGATGAGATGGAGTTCACCGAGGCCGAGAGCAACATGAACGACCTGGTGTCCGAGTATCAGCAGTACCAGGACGCCACGGCCGACGAACAGGGGGAGTTCGAGGAGGAGGAGGGCGAGGATGAGGCTTAAAGTCACAATTGAAAGCAGGTTAGGGAAAGTCGAGGAGAAGGAAAGCACGGGGGAGGGGGGCTTAGTGGTGAAAATCTCTTGGCAGTTGAAGGAAAGAAGCATGGTCTTCTCTAGGTGTGTGCGCTGGGTCTCTGGTGCTCTTCACTGTTGCCTGTCATTTGGGGTTTTTTTTTCTTTTTGTATTATTGATGACATCAATGTAACATTTGAGATATTTCTGAGCTACTGTTGTAATGGCTAAAATCACATAAACGTTTGTGTCCTAACGGTGTCTTCTCTTCTGTCTCCTTCTTCTCTTTATGGGCTTCTTTATAATGGTTTTGCCTGTTAACTTTCAGAACACATTATATTAAATTCTTCCTCTAGAAAAGAGAAGGGAGAGGTAAAAGTTCAAATGAATTTACTCTGTCCGTGTGGTAAAACTGAGCCAACCACAGTCATACCCAATATAAGATGGGACATCAATGCGAATTTGTAAATGCCCTTAAATATTTTATTAGTTGAAAGGATGCCTCCTTGAAAGCAGACTAAGTGTAATTTCATGTAGAAATCCTATGTCTTTACTTCTTTACAAAAAAAAAATTTTTTTTTTTAATAGTTACTACCTGCATACAGCACACGTTCTAAAGGATAGAGAGTGGGAAGGAAGTCTCTTCCTCCTGTGTTCCTTGCTACAGTTTTCCTCCCTGGAGGGCAACCATTCTTAGCACTGTTATCTCTCCAGCATCCTTGAAGAAATATTCCATATATCTTCAAACGGATGTAGGTTATTCCCTTTTTTTCTTTCTTCACACATCTTATGATGATAGTAACACTGTTCTGCTGCCTCTTTTCTTCACTGAACAGTATGTTTAAAATACAGAGCTTCCCTCCTTGAAATGGATACACAGTATCCATTATGTAATCCTGCCATACTTTATTTCATTGGTTCCCTACGATGGCCATGTAGGTCCTTTATGCTTTTTTCTCATGGTGCCACAATGAGTAATTTTGTGCATATATCATTGTGTATATGAGAACAGCTCTCCTGCAAATTTCTCTGTGGAGATTTTCTGCCAAATTGTGCCATGTTCTGCCTTAGATTGGGCCAGTCAGTTTCTCATTTGGGGAACAGAAGTGGAGTGTTAAGTTATAAACAAATGTATAACATTTATTTATATACCCCTATAGGAAGAAAAAAAATAAAACTGTAGGCTTATGATTTTTCCTATTTTTAGACAAATGCAAAATTAGGAAAAATATTACTTTAAATTTGACCCTGTATTTATTTCATTCTAGTTGGTTCTACTACATAAATGTTTTTTTTTAAAAGAGAGGAAGAGAAAAGATGAGGGGTGGATAAGGGATTTCCACATTAAAGAGGCTGAAGTATATATGAAGATGGTTCCAAGGAAAAGTGTGAACATTATCTAAATAGTGTGAAAATGGCCTCCAAAATGGAAAAGAGTAGCAATTTGCAAGTATTATATATTATAAAACCTAGACCTAGTGATGAGTAAGGACAAATGGATCAGAGTCAGTGACTTCTTCAGTTTTCTATATTTAACAGTGAATTGGCTGGTGCCATTCCTGCTGAGCTGGTGTAAAGCTTCCAACAACTTAATTGAAGGGTAACATTGGTTTTAAATGCCCTGAACACTGGGTCAGCTGCCAGGGCCCCCTGGATCCTTGGCCACGCATTCCCCACAACCTGTCAGACACATGATCGGTAGCTTTGGAGAAGACAGGGATTGCTGCCAGGTGCTTCTTGGCATACCGTAAGTATCCTGCTTCTCTTTCCCACCTTGTGAGAAGGGGACAGGCAGGC